AAGCCACTGGGAAAGCAGTCTGTGCTGAAGCTTTTCATCACAAAGGCCATGCCCACAGTGGATCAGTGGTCAAAGGGCACACACACAGGGCTGCCCTAGGACAAAATTGCTCCAGATCACTAATAATTGCAGAAATGCAAATGAAAACAACCTTGCTACACCGCACCCCCATCCCCCACTGGGGAGGTGAATTGGGAAGCCAGCGGCACAGGAAGTTTGAGGGATGGTTTTAAAGGCCAGAACAGCCAGAGAAGCCCCAGGAGGGGCCTGGAGGCTGGCCAGCTCCCCAAGATAAAGGCCCCAGGAAGAATTCACCATCAGGGGAAGGGAGCCAACTTGGCACACAAGGGTATTCCAGGGTGAGGAGGCCCCAAGCTCAGAGGACTTTGGCTGAGCCAGGCTTTCCGAGTCCAGAGAGTGCAGAACAATCTGGAACTGTGCCCCCAACGTTACCAAATTGTGATGCCCTCTGGCATGGAATGAAGAGACTTTGGAGCCTGTGTGGACACTCTGCCTCTGGTTCTGGTCCCCATGGGCTCAGCCTGTGAGCCTGGCTGTGGTTGCTGAACTGGGTGGAGACACGCATCCCAGAGGCTCAGTCACCTTTAGACTTCCCGTCTCTGGTAGGTGGATGCCTCCTTCAGCATCTGGTGAGAGGCAATGCTATAAGGGAGAGGCTTGGGCCTTCTCCCTCTGAGGAGGCCGGATTTCAGTTCTTTGCAGAGCTCACTGTTCCTTCTGTCCCTTTAGACAGAGTTGGAGGCTCTGACCTTGTGAGGATCCAAAGATCAAGAGAGTGAGTCTTTGAGATTCTGGGATTCTTTGGTGCAGCCAGCCCAGCCTAGATGGGACGAGGCGGCTGAGATGAGGACCACCCATGCAGCATTAATGCTACATTTGGCATGAAGTTAGTGGGACCAGCACTGCTGTCAGAAGCCTTGCCAAACCTGCACCTACTCTCCCCAGAGACTGAGGGGGTGCCGGTGGGGGGATGTACTGCGCCCGGGAGTTAAGCAGGAATGTTTGTATCTTAGAAGTAAATATTGCTTTGTGAAAGCTAAGTGATGGAGCTAGGGCACCCAGCTGGGAGGGACACCATTGGTGGGGGCTCCAGCCACAGCATTAGGGAAGAAACGCCCCCCCCACTCAGGCCCAGGAGGGGCAGGTGGGATGTGATGGAGCAGCCTGGCTCTGAGCCAGCCCCGAGTGGGCTCCTATGCCTGTATGAACTGATGCTTCATTTTTATGAGACTTAAAATGGGAGTTCCCTTTCTATGACCGCTTCTTGGATTTTGTTATTGTTACATAGAAATGCAGTTGATTTTTGAGGATCTATTTTGGAGTCTGATACTTTGCTGAAGCTCTTAATTGTCTCAATTAGTACCTCTGCTGATTTCCTGGGATTTAAGCCGTCATATCATCAGCCAATAGGGATGGTTTTATCTCCTTTTTACCTATCTCTACACCTTTAGTTTCTTTCTCTTGTCTCAGGGCTGTTGCTAGCCTTTCAAGGATGATATCAACTAATAGTGGGAGGGGGCATCTTTGCTTCAACCCGACATTTATTGGAAAAGGTTCTAGTATATCCCCACTGCAGGCCAGGAGAGAGTTTGGCTTTAGATAGATGTTTGTTAGGATGTCTTAAAAAGTCTCTCTAAGCATATACTTTGTAAGATTTTTAGCATAAAAGTGTTGTATTTTGTCAGAGGCTTTTTCTGCTTCATGTGGTTTGGGATGTTTTGAATTTTAGTATGATTATGTTGATTGTTTTTCTAATGTTGAACCATCCTTGCATCCCTGGTATAAAGCCCACTTGACCTAATGAATGATTTCTTTAAATTTTTGAGTCAAAGTTCATCAGTGATATTAGCCTAGGGTTTTCTTTCTGTGTTTTAGCTTTTCCTGATTTAGGTATTAGGTAAATATTTGTCTCATAAAAAGATTCTGGTAGGGTGCTGCTTTCTCAGTTTTTGAGAATAACTTGCGAAGCATGGGCATTTTAAAATTTTTATATTTTCCCAATTACATGTAAAATGAATTTTTAACATTCAGTTTTTAAATTTTGAGTTCCAAATTCTCTCCCTTCCTCCCCTTTCCCTTCCTTGAGAAGGCAAGCAATTTGATGTAGATTAGGCACATGCAGTCATGCAAAACATATGCGTGCACTAACTTGTTAAGAAGTTAGCTAGGATTCTGTGACACTCTGGCCCTGGTGCTTTTTTTGGTGCCTCCCTTAAAGCCAGATCCAGTTTCTTTTCTGAGACTTGGTGACTTAGGATCTCTCTGGTCTTCCGCTAGTTTGGATTTTGTTACTGTATCACTAACTGTGCATAATGGGCTCTGAGTATTCTTCTCATTGGCTCCAGTATAGTTGTGATTTCACCCTTCCCATCCTGAGGGCCTGACGTTTTCTGTACTGGACAGGGGGACCCCGGCCCCTGTCCCTGTTGCACCTGCCCCTGCTGCGTGGCTCTGGTGTATGAGAGCAAAGGAAATCTTTGATCCATCAATGCTTAAAAACTCGTAGGGCATTCAGCATCAGTCCATCTCATCCCAAGGCCAGGCCCGAACTAAAAGGATGCTGGCCTTTCAGCCTTCCCCCATTTCAGAGTTGAGCTAGATAATGTTGGCAGCTGTGTGGAGGAGGAATAAGGGTGAGGAGACTCGAGCGAGGCCACTGATTAGGTGATACTGCAATGGTCTGGGTCAGAGGTGATAAGGTGCTGAAGTGGGGTGGGGGCTGCCTGCCTCGGCAAAGAAAACTGATGGGCCAGATGCTGAGGGTGGAAGGGCCTGTGATTAGATGTGGTGAGAGTGAGAGTGAGGAGCTGGGGCTGAGAGCGAGCTGGCCACCAAGAAGGTTCAAAGAGCAGGGTATGAAGGGGAGAAGAGATGAGCTGGCTGTGCACAGGAGGACTGGGGGTCGTCTCTGGGCATTCCTCAGAGTCCCATGGTGGCTGGGGGGAGGGGCACTCAGGAGAGCGGGGTGAGAGCTGGGTGGAGATCTGGGAATCACTTCATGGTTACTGATTGGGAGACAAACGGGGTAACGGGGCTGGAGGAGGCCTGGAAGCCCAACCCCTCAGTAGTCATCTTCCTGGGGCACGCATGGGAAGCCCTCAAGGCTGGCCCTTCCCTCTACTGATCTTCAATTTATGCTGTTTCAATTCTATTCAATACACCTTTATTTAAGTGCCTACTAGGCGGCAGCACAGTGCTAAGCACTAGGGATACAAAAAGAGGCAAAAGACAGTCCCTGCCCTCATGGAGCTTATAATTAAAAAACATATAT